GTTAGATTAATTTCATTTGTGTCTTCAGAACTGTATTCCTGAGAGCTTTCTATCTCTGGATTTCCTCCTCTCATTTAATTTTAGGCCAAAGGATCTTAACTCTCATTTTACTTTTTCCAAATCTAGAGTACATGGCAGACTATGCCTAAATTTTCTCTCCTCTATTATAAATTCTAAGGCAGAGTAGTTAGTCCCTTTACACACGCACACATATACACACACTCACACACTCATATACTGCAGTATATATTTTTATAGGAGTCCTCCAAAGCCACTCCTAGCTTGTAGCTCAAAAAACCAGGAATACAGTTAAGCAGGTAGAAGAGACAATGACTCCACCCACTCATTGACATGGGAAGAATGGAGGAGCTTTATGGTTGGAAAACTAGGCACTCTCAACCCAGAGCCATTTGGTAATTAGTGGGCCAATAACCATTACACGGGTTATAGTTTAGCCTTCAGATATGAATGGAATGCTCATCATAAGCCAGGCTGAGATCTCTGGCCAAGGTATCTAAGTCCCCAGAATAGGAAGGAGCCAAAAAAAAGGCTACAGCTGGGTGTATTCACTAGCTGGGAATACCTGACTCCTTATACTAAAGAATTTGGTTCCTGGGGCTGAGAATATCCTCCTGAAGAGATAAGAAGCCTCAATAGGAAGTGAGAAACGAGAACAGGAAATAAGTTTTTTGTTGGTCCCCAGGCAAGGAAAGATTTTCTGCCTTTTTCTAAGAGAGCTGTATGGTGTTCAAAACCCTTCCTAAGCCCCTCTTACCTTTCCAGTTTTATCTTCCTTCCTTCCACATACTCTGTAACTCCTATCTGTAAGTATTCATTTCTATCTAGTCCTTCTCCTCCTCCTGATCTTATTGCCTTACTCTTAGACAATCTCCAATTTCTCCTGAAATATATCTTGTTTGTATATAGTTGTTTGCATGCTATCTCCTCCATTAGATTGTGAGCTTCTTTTTAAATTTATTTTAATTTATTTTTTGTTTTTTTAGATTGTGAGCTTCTTGAGGGCAGGGACAGTCTTTGCTTTTCTCTGTATCTCCAGCACTTGGCAAAGTGACTGCCACATAGTAGGTGCTCAAAGCTTGTGGACTTGACTGCCACTTCATTTAATGCCTCTGGCTGATCCAGAGAACCTTGAACTGAAATAACTAACTATCCCTTGGGAGACCGTCCTGTGAGTTGGGAATGGGAGGGCAAGGACCCCAATACTATTGTTACAGAAAGAAGAAAATGTCATTAAAGATAAACTATGAATTTATTAGCTACTCAGCTTTTGGTAGAAAGAGGGCACACTTTAGAAAATGTACATATAATTGAGGTCCCATATTATACCTCTGTCTGGGGCTCATGCACTAGTCTATTTCCTCCCTTCCTCCTATAGCATATTCTCATGTCACTGTTGCCTTTGTTTCCTCCTTCATTTATGTTCAAAGCGCTTCACCATATTTCCCCCATCTGACTGAAGGATAGATGCAATGCTATTCTTTACCCCCAATCTCCTATTTTTCTATTCTTTTTGACTAAGGTGAGCCTTCCACAGCAGCCTGGATCTCCTATCACCAAGTCTCCTGATATCAACTTTGCCCTCTTGTGTTACGCTCTTTAGTTCACCTTGCTACCCACATTCTGGGGTTTTGGGGACAGACAACGGAGGGCACGAGTTTTATTGCTGGCTCCTGTCCAGTCCAAGGACTGTGTCTCTTGTGAATTATGACATTTCTCTAGCTGTTCTTCACCAGTGTGTCAAGGTTAGTAGATATAATGTGTTGCTTAGATTTGCTAAATTTTTTTTTCTTTTCATAAGGGATCGCTGTCTGGGAAGGGAGGGAATGGGAGGGCATAACTGGGAAATGGAGGTAATGTAAAAATAAAAGACAGTTAAATGTGCAAAATAAAGTATGATATAAATATTAAAAAGGGGGAGAAAATGTCTTCTTAGGATTGCCCTGCCCCCTTTCCACTATCATGAATAACTTTCTCTACTAGCCTGGAAAAGCAGACTGTTCCCACCTGAGCTATATCTTGAATTTTCTTTTATATAGTGGCCATTTGTCCTATTAGCTCCTAGTGGGGATCTAGCCCGAGTCAGCCTACCACAGTGCAAAGGGTACTGGACCTGTAGTCAGGAGGCCTGGATTCCAATTCTAATTCAGGTGCTTCATTGGCTTTATGACCATGGACAATTACCTCCCTTCCCTGGCCAAAAGTGTTCTTATTCATAAAATGATTTCTAAGGACCCTTCCAGCTGAGATACAAAGGTAGCATTGAGTAATACCTGTGGTATCTACCTGTCAGAACTGGTTGTGGGTATCAAATGAGGGGATGTCACTAAAGCACTTTGTAATCCTAAAGTACTAGATAAATGAGTCTACATTTGCCTGCCTTTGAGCTCAGTAAACAAGGACAAGGTGCAGTTTGGGAATGTGGCCACAAGATGGCAGAGGGAAACAGGGCCCCACAGTCATGGCAGCTAGAAACCCTGCCAAAAGACAGCAGGTGTCTGGCCCCTGCCCTGGCAACTTTCCCCCAGAGAGCTAGAAGTTCCGAGTTCCGCCCCGGCTGGGAGGCATCAGTTCCTGGTCCCTCCCGTGCAATCTCCTGTTCCCATCAGCTCTTGCCCCTGGGGCATCCAAGGAAAGTTTTGCAAAAATCTTACCTGCCCTTTCCACTCAGGGCAAGAGAAAACAGCCTGGAAAATCCAAAATCCATCAACCTCTCAATAATGAAGAGTTTCCTGGACACCCTCTGCAGGCAGGGCAGGCAGGAAACAATAACAGTGAAGTAATATAGAAATATTTCTCCAGAGCCCCCACTTCTCCCTTTTATTTCACCAGATCCTCTTTCCCAGGGCTGCAGAACTAGTGTTCACATACACAACAACACCTATCTACTCAGGTGCCCCACCTGCCATTTCTTAAAAACTTCCTGGTGTTCTGTCCCTTCCGCCCAAGAAGCAGGTCTCAGTTAATGTTCTAATGTTTCTTTGTCTTGCCCACTAAAAACTGTGTGACCTTGGGAAACACACTTTTTTATGGTCTGCCTCAGTTTCTTTCTCCAAAAAATGAGGATGCTAGAGTAGATGTCTCTAAGGGGCCTCCCAGCTCTCAGTCAATGTTCTGTGTTCTAAAGGACTGTTCCAGTTTTAGTGTTCTGTGTTCTAAGCCCCTTTCCAGCTCTAGCATTATGTGTTTGAAGGTCCCATTCATCTTGGGCAGTCCAAGTTTCTGTGAGTCTACCTAGGACATAAAGGGACCTTCAGGAAATGTTGCCTTACCCTAAAGGGCTGCAGATGATGCCTTCCAAGTGACATTTCAGATGGCTAAACCTAGCCCTTCACATCTAGGTATCGAGCTGGGAACTGACTCATCTATTTGAAATGTGGGCCTCACATTTCATAATTATTTGGACATGTGCTAGATAACCCTGCTATAAGCCTGCTAATTCCATTAATAAAAACCCCAAATCTTACTCCTCTATCCCCACAAGGAGCCCTGTACAGGCTTGGTATATAGTAGGCACTTCAACAGAATTCCACAGAGCTTTGTTAAATGCAAGGCCCTGTACTAAGTGTTGAAATGGGACAATGATTGAGGAAATGACATATACTCAAATAACTATGATATAAGAGAAGGGAATGGAAAAGGAAAGGAGTAAATACTTATATAGTGCCTACTATATACCAGATACTGTGCTAAGAGCTTTTTACAAATAAATATCATCTCATATGATTCTCACAATAATCCTATGAAGTAGGCGTTATTATTGCCCCCTTTTTACAGCTGGGGAAACCCAGCCAACAGCGGTGAAGGGATTTGCCCAGGGTCACAAAACTAGCAAGTATCTGGGGTCATGTTTGAACTCAGGTCTTCCTGACCCTATGCCCGGTGTTCTACCTACTGCAGCACCAGCTACCTCCCATAAGGAAATAAAATCAACTAGTAAGTCTCTGAGGCCAGATTTGAATTTAGGTCTTCTATCTACCCAGGTGGAAAGAGTAAAGGAGAGGCCTTGGTGTAAAGCTCTATGGGAAATCGAAGGAGGGAGTTCACCTGGAGAGAAACTGTCATGGCGCTATAGCTTGAAAGATAGATGGGAAGAGAGAGGGTGGGGCTGAGGAGGGGAGAGTATTCTGGGGGTGGGAGAAGGTGAACAAAGATAAGCCAGGGTGAAACCAGCAGTAGCATTGCTAAATGTCCTACCATCCTTTTTATCCACTGGGTCTTTCCATTAGATTCCCAGGCTGTCCAATCCAATAAGTATTTACTGAGAACCTACCACTAGGCCCATAGTGATCGTTGGCATGACCATGTGAAATGCTGCCAAATTCACACTCAGCCCATTGGTGCTGCCCACACGTGCACACTGAACCACATCTTGAAACATCCCTCTCAGCTTATTTCCTCCCAACAGAGACAAATCATAAGATCAGAGGGCTTCAAGCGAGGAGGGATCTTGAGAGATGATCTATATCTGCTCATTTGACAAAAGACTGAGAATCAGAGAAATTAAGCGACTGGCTCAGGGTCTCCTAGCTATTGTTAAGGGGTCCCCTGAACTTATCCTTTTGAGTTGCCATATTTTCCAGAAACACTGGACCCAGGGTACCCCTGAACACGTCAAGGACAAAGACAAAGAGTTTGAACCTAGCTCTAACTCCCGTGTCCACTCTGCTTCCCACTATATCATGCTACTTCTAGGATTAATAATACAAACAGCAAATTTAAAAAAACAGGAATAAATGCAAAATCTTACACTTGGGGAAAAAAAGTCAACTTCACGAGAACAAGCCAAGGTGTTGTCTTTTTTTCAAACAACACTTTGAAACAGATCTGGGGATTACAGTAGGTAGCAAGTTCAATCAAAGGTGTGAAATGGTGGCGGAGAAAGTGAATACTTTCTGGCACTGGCACATTTCTGAATCTGAAGCAGCCTCTGCCAGGGCTGTGGGAGCACCCACTCTTTCCTCCTCCCAGATTCCGCTTACCTTGTGTTCTCTGCTCTTCGGCTGATGCACTGGTGCAGGAAGAGATAGTCCTGGGGGGGCACTGGTGGACAGGGTGGTCTGTGTGTGGTTCGCTGGGGCTTCAAAGGTGAACAAGGTTGGCTGGCTGGAGTGCGAGGGGGCCGAGGATTTGCGTTCTCGAAGCAGGTGTGGGTTGGAGCTGTTCAGTTCTGCCGGGGAGGAGCGGGGGCCATGACCCACAGAGGGGAGGTTTCTCAGAGAGTCTATATAAGAAGAAAAGACAAATATGAATATATGAATACATGCGAGCATATATGCAAGCTTCAGTCCAATTCGATCAAATCAACAAACATCTTTTGAGATGCTGGAGTGGGTGCTCTAGCCTGGAGCATACCAAGAGCAACTCTCATTTTTATATTCCCTTAAGCTTTATAAAACCACTTTGTTCACAACAAGCTTGTAAGGTTAGCTGGTCAAAAAACATTTATTAAGCTCCTACTATGTGCCCTAGGAAGCATGAGTTTCAGAATTGGTGTGCTGTTGCAGGATGATGAGAATAGGGGAGAACATGATAAAGTTCAGAGGAGTACAGCCTGGTTATAGGCAGACTAATGAACGAATAAATAGATAGATAGATACATATATGTTGTTCAGTTGTGTCTGACTCTTCATGATCCCGTGGGACCGTACTTGTCCGTGGGGTTTTCTTGGCAAAGATAGTGGAGCGGTTTGCCACTTCCTTCTCCAATGAATTAAGTCAAACAGAGGTTAAGGGACTTGCCCAAGGTCACACAGTGTTTGAGGCTGGATTTGAACCCAGGTCTTCCTGATTTCAGGCACAGTGCTCTATCCACTGAACCATCTAGCTGCTGCCCCAGATACATACATACATACATACATACATACATACATACATACAAACAAACAAATGGAAGAATAAAGAGATAGCTATATAGATATAAATAGATGAAAATTATTATTAGCCCATTTCACAAAAAGCCTAAATTTCAGAGAAGTGAAGTGACTCGACCATCATAGTCACAGAGCTAGTGTCTGAAACCAGAATTTGAACCCAGATCTCTGCTGACAGTACGCTGCTTCAACACCATTAGTGGGTGGGATGGTCTCTATTTTCCCAATAGCAGTGGGTTCTATTTTGGGCTAGCTCTGTTAAGAAGCTTAGATATACCTTTCTTTCTTTTTCTCCCACCTAGTCCTACCTTGGGCCACTAAACTGAACAATCTGGGGATATACCGGGTATCTGTCACCGAAGAACCAGCCTAGAGAGGTTATCACCAATGGATTTTTTGGGGGGAGGGTGGAGGAAGTGGTACGACAGTTCACAAAGGCCATCCTTAGCCATGGTGGAGTTGTAGTCTGTGTGAGTGAAGGGAGTGCCCACATCAGGGATCTCTGATGTCCTTACAGTCAATAGTGAAGCACAACGAGGATATGATTTAATGTGGAAAGACCTGAGAAGTTAGATAAACGCGATAAATAACGAACCGTAATTCAAGAGGCCTGATAAGGAAGCGTGCCACCACCTCCTGACGCACAGATGATGGACTCAGGGTGCAGCAGGAAACAAAAAATTGTGGACAAGGCCACTGTGGGATTCGGTTTTGCTTAATGATGCACATTTGTTACCAGGCTTTGGCTAGTTGTTTGTTCTCTTTTGTTTTTTTCCAATCAGGGAAAAGGGAGGTAGAAGAGAATAAATGCTTAATTTTGTTTTTTTTTTTTCAAATGTTCTTAAAAAGAGGATATGTTTTTTCACTGATTACCGTACTGGTAGCAGAAGTTTTGGTACCAGGGGTGGAAACAATCATCACTGTTAACAACAAAATTCCTATTTATATAGACTTTTACAGTTTACAGAACACCTTCCTACAACCGTCTGAGGAGGAGGAGGGGAGCAATGAGGATAGTATCACACCTACTTTACAGATAAAGAAATGGAAACAGAGAAATTCACAGAAGAGGCTATAGCCTGCCCTTAAGGGAAAGGGGCAAATTCCATAGGGCAGCTGTGAACGCATGGGTTTTCTCACATCCTTTGTGATCTCATACATATAGATGAATAAAGAGGGTGCTGGAGGAGGAGGAGAGGTTAAGGTAAAGGGAGAAGGTGGGAGAGAGAGGTTGGGGAGGGGGGTAGCACTGAAAGAGAGAAAGACATTCTATCTTTTTTTTAAATTTACTAGCTCTGTTGCCATGGGGAAGCCATTTAACCTCTTTACATCTATTTCCTCATCTGTAAAATGGGTATATTAATACCCACAGAACTGACCTCATTGGGTTTTTGTAAGGCTTCATTGAAATAATGTATACCCAAAAGTACTATTTAAAATCAGTTCTTGTCATTTTCCTCCTCTTTTTTTTTTTTTTTTAGGATGGATTTCATATAGAAATGGCCCTGGGAAAAGCTGTTATCCTACTTTTATTCTTTTTATCTAATATTCTGGGGATGGTTGGGTAAAATACCTACTTTTTGAAATCAACTTTTTTTCTGGCACAACTCGTGAATTTTTTTGTGTAACTATGCATATTTGATCCAGGGAATTGTTTTCTCCCCCAAATGTTTTTTTTGGGGGGGGAGGGAGGGCCACAGGAGAGATTAGGTAGGAAGGAGAGAGAAAAAAAATGCTTGTCAATTGAAAAAAAATTAAGGAAACTGAGTAAGAGTTCATCATTTTTCAGGTTCCCTGAAGGTGTCTTTGGGGAAGCACCAGCTGCAGATAGGACAATGGGGATGATTTCTTCTGCTCTATTTGGTTTAGCAACATCTATTTAAAAGTGTCCTTAAATTTTTATGGATCAATGTTCTGTCCAGACAACTGCGGACAACGGCCCTATCTTCCACAATGCTCCGGTGCCAGTGCAGTGTGTTGGCTGAATTCTCAAGGACGCTACGAGGTCTGTATTTGTAACATGAGGATTTGCTTTTTGTGAATTTAGCAAAAATAGAGAGTTTATCATATATAATTCTAGCCACCAGATTTGTGTCTTGCTAATTGTTTGGTAGGTGCTACATTTTGCCAACGTGCATTTGGGTCTCCTAGTTTCTACTCTTTCTTTTTATAACCTGCATTGATAACCAGGAGGTCCTTAAGGATAACTCTTGTAATTTCTGGTGTCCCTGATCTAATCCTGAATAGCCATCACAGGCAGCTAGATGGCGTAATAGATAAAGTTTTGGATTTAGAATCTGGAAGACCTGGGTTCAATTTCTGACTCAGACATTTACTAGGAGGGTGTCCCCAAGCAAGTCATTTAATATCTCTCAGCCTCAGTTTTCCTCATCTGGAAGATGGAAATAATAACACCTGCCTCACAGGATGTTGTGAGGCAAACACTTTACAAACATTAAGGTTCAGCATAGCACAAATGCTAACTATCGTCATCAAGTCTTCAGTTTTTATTTTTTAAAATCTCCATGACTCAGCCATTTGTTTGATGCTTCTCTGTAAAAATATTGCTAGTTGAATCTGCATGGATATTTCCCAGGCCTTTTGCTTCCATTTTTAGACCTTACTCATTTCATAGAGAATATCTGGAATTCAACAACTTGCAGTTAATTTGACAAATGCAGAGGCATGTAGATATCCTAAGTTTTTACTACTGCACTGTTTTGGGATACGGTTTTGGATGTCATTTGTTCTAAAAGTATTTCTGTGAGTTTTAAATCTATTTATGTGCTATTGATTTTATTATATAACACATTTAATTTATTGTTAAATTATTAACATGATGTAGATAATATAATATACAAATTATTTGTTGTTTAGTCATTTTTCAGTCATGTTGACTCTTTGTGACCCCATTTGGGCTTATGTTGGCAGAGATACTGGAGTGGGTTGACATTTCTTTCTCCAGCTCATTTTATAGATGAGGAAACTGGGTCCAATAGGGTTAAGTGACTTGTCCAGGGCCACACAACTACTAAGCGTCTGAAGCCGGATTTGAATTCAGGAAGCTGATTCTTCCTGACTCCAGGCCTGGCATTCTATCTGCTGTACCACCTCACTGGCCCCTATAAATTATTAAATATTATTAAATAAATATACATTAATATTTATGTCCTATTAATTTATTAAATTTACTCATATGCTTCAAGAACATCTATTAATCTTGCTTCCTCCATTTTGACAAGGAAGCATTAGTCTTTTCCTAGCTGCCTTAGGATGATGGGCCCTGTGATCTATAAATATCGTACAGGTTTTTGTTAGGAAACTTTCCAGATCTGATGTGGCCCATTTTATCATTTCAAAAGTTTAAATTAAGACTAGCTTCTCATAGGTGTTAATTGCTCTAAATTTCAGGATGTTAAAAAGTCTCAATGTTCATAGCCACAGCTTCCCCCCTCGATTGCTTTATTTTCGATGCGCCTTGCCTGGAGGAGGATCATGGTATTTCTAAGTATCGCCTTCATACAGTGGTTCAAGCTGATCTCTTGGATTCAAGCTCAAAGATTTCTGCTTCTCTCTCTTCTTGGTGTATGTTAAGAGTTTTACTTATTGAGGCCAATACTATTTTGATATCATTGAGGAAAGATTCCATGAGATTAAGAAACTGATTAATATGATTTTCAGTGGATCCAAATAAATTGATGTTACCCACGGACAGTAAGTGATCAGTAAAGATGTTTTAGTATAGCTCTCGTTCAGTTGGAAGCTGGAGACATGATAACGGGTTGAAAGCTGGTAGAATTATAAGGGGCTTAAAACTATCTCCTTGAGAGATGTCAGATGCTCTATAAATTGTTCTTGCCATTACATTGTTGGTGGCATGTTTTAAAGTGAGAAGTTTTCCATGTGAACATCAAATGCTCCAATATTTTCACCACGTTTGTATCTGTCTAATGCATTAGAACTAAATGAATAAGCCATCAGTGAGGCACTCTGTCAAAAGTTTGGGATAACAAATTTGGAGATAGTTATTATTTATCTCATTCTTCTCCTCTTTTTGGATAGTGTTTAGATAGATAGAGATGGTCCTGGGATCAAGTCATCATTTTGCTGACTATTTTAAATTTGATTTTCTAGGGACAATTTTATCATTATTGTTCATATTAGAAAGAGGAGTCATGTCTTCGGATAGGGTGTTCCAAAATTCTAGAAGGGCTATGTTAGTGACTCCCCTAATCTATGCTGATTGAGATGACATTCTTCTCTGCAGTACTCTCACTGCCAGATTATGCCAGATACTGAAGAGCTCATTACAATGCTAATAGGATATAACAATATGGTGGCCATGGGGTTG